TCCCTCACAATCTCAGCCAATCCAATGCTTTCGTATGGGAAAGCATTTTGATTGGCTAAGATCACCACTTCTGATAATGTCAGCCAAGGAGGCAGATCAGGGGCAGAGCCAGCAGCAGCAGACTGGAATAAATGTAAGATTTTACTATACTTAGGGGGGGCAAGGTGGGATCATGGGGGCTAGATAGTGTTTTTAATACTATAGGGTTAGGAATACATGTTACTCCATGTGTCTCACACACACACATCGACAGACATACACACTGACAGACAACACACACACACACTGACAGACACACACATACACTGACCAAGGAGGAGTTGCTGCTGCTCTGCTCTGTGTGTTGCTTCCAAGATGGCTTCTTGCTTTGCTCTCCTGTGGGCACTGTAGCCCCACCCCATGGTGATATGAGCCAATGATGGCAAACCAACCCTCCTCTCATGGGCAGCTGGCTCTACTGCCTAAATGGCAACACCATAGAATTTCCTACAATTTCTTCCAAAAGGAGACTAGGCATGTGCAAAATCTGCTGAATCAGGGCAGATTTCAATCCTGCCCTATTATTTTGACATGCCTAGATTCTCTTAAGAAATCTTATCCAAACAGCATATTAAATAGAGAGGAGGGCACCTGCGGAACTGAAACCGATTACAGAATTAAAAAGACAAAAATTTTATCACATATATTTTGGCTTACATATTAACATTTTATTCACACGTAATGTTGTGTTAGATATACATATAGGATATTAAATGCAAGCAATTTCTGTCCTTTAAAAATCAATATATAATGTGGATGTGGAACAAACACAAAGCTCAAATTCTAGGGTTTGTTTTGGTTTAGAACTTTGACAATTTACTTTGTCCTTAAGGGATTAAACACTAAATGAATTTATTAGTCTTTACTGAGTGAACAAAAAGACAAAATTAGTAATGAGTTATCTCTGCAGTATCCTCAAGTGAAATGTCATACATGCATAAAAATAGCTAGAAAAATAGGATGATAGTAAAACGGAAATCCAATACATAATAAAACTGAAAATATAGTATGCGATAGAATAAGAATTTTCAATTAAACAAATATATGTGTATTTGATCATAATATGCAAGAACACTTTGCAAGATCTGTGAAAACTGGATCCTAAGCAAACTAGCCATAATATCTGTTTTTTAAAAACTGCTAAGTCTCCAGCTATGTGACCCAAAAGGTGACTATTGTTACGAGCAAATGCAAATGCAAGAAAAATTTTAGAGAAGAGAATTATATAAAAAAAATAACTGTAATCTAGATCCCATGAAATCTATGACTTGTCACACATTTCATGAGTTACAGAATAATCTCCTGGTTAACCTACATTTAATGGGACACATGACCTGGGAAGGATAAAAAACAAAATAGACAAACCTGCTGAGAAAATAGTCCATACAAATATTAAAGAAAACTATTTTATAACCTGTACCTTCTTGCATTGTACTGGCTCAATTGAACTTGCATTGTACTGGCTCCATTTGTCTAAATATACATAGGGATTGAGGAGAGAGCGCAGGTAATTGGAGCTGATGTGTACTGTAGTCATTGCTGCCGCCCAGGAGTGATGGGAGTGAGTGCAGGACTTTTCTTCTTGTATTTGTATTCACTTTTTGTATCACACAGCTAGGTTACAATGCTGCCGCCCATCCCATGTGTTCCCTATTAAGGGTTAACAAGTATATAGGGGTGTATATAAAAAATACCTCTCTCTGTCTCACTAGAGAGATTTTTGCCAGAAGCTCAAGGAAGCAAGGTAAAGGGTCAGAGTAGGACCCGTCTAGGGGGGTCTGCCTTGATGTTGGCAGGCGGGCATTTCCTCCAGTGGCCATTGGAGTAACTAGATGACCTCCATTTGTTTAAATATACATAGGGATTAAGGAGAGAGCGCAGGTAACTTTTTTCTTTGGTTTTTACTATATGTATTAGCTGATGTGTACTGTAGTCATTGCTGCCGCCCAGGAGTGATGGGAGTGAGCGCAGGACTTTTCTTTTTGTATTTATATATATATACACATATATATATTTATATATATACACACACGTATATATATGTAATAATTCTACATATATATTTATGTAATAATTTGACATCATTAGGTCTTCTTATTCATTACAATTTGCAGGACCTACCTGACAACCCAGGCCGAAAGTCCAGGGAATTTAATTTGCTGGCACTATATTTAACCCTGTAACTTTCCAAGACACCATAAAACCTGAACACAAATATTAGTGTAAAATACAGTAAAATATATTACAACCATGATATCATCAGTGAAAGTGACATTTTTTGCATTTTTCACACACAAATGGCACTTACACGGACGATATAATTGTTGTGATAAGTTTTACTGTTTTGAAACACTAATATTTGTATGCAGCGAAGTCTCCTGAGTATTACAGTACCCCTCATGTACAGGTTTTATGGTGTTTTATAAAATTACAGAGTCAAATATAAGGCTTGCATTTCATTTTTTTTTTTTTTGCTGTGCATAAACATTTAACATACGCTTATGAGGTAGTGTGTCACATTTAAGTATTACATTGGGGTATATGAGAGACATGCACATTTTCTGTTAGTATTAAGTCATAAGAGTAGCATGCGCAGTGTTAGCATATGAGCATGCTAGATTGGTTATATCATAAAGAACGGTATGCGAGGAGGCTGATTAAACATTATGTTCATTTCAAATGAACAATCTAACAGTAAAACAGGCTAGGGTTAACTGTGGTATAAGATTAGTTACGTATGGTTAATTTAAGCTATCCACAAGATATATCTACTTGGCAGCAAGCTACAGGCTATGCGTTGGGGTTGCGTTTCAGTTTTTTCACATTGAAATTCGCCAGATTGGTTACGTTGCCTTTGAGAACGTATGGTAGCCCAGGAATGAAAATTACCCCCATGATGACATACCATTTGCAATAGTACACAACCCAAGGTATTGCAAATGGGGTATGTCCAGTCTTTTTTTGTAGCCACTTAGTCACAAACACTGGCCAAAATTGGCGTTCAAATTAGTTTTTTGCATTTTTCACACACAAACAAATATTAACACTAACTTTAGCCAGTGTTTGTGACCAAGTGGCTACTAAAAAAGACTGGAAATACCCCATTTGCAATACCTTGAGTTGTCTACTTTTGCAAATGGTATGCCATCATGGGGGTAATTCTCATTCCTGGGCTACCATACAGTCTCAAAGGCAACGTAACCAATCTGTCGAATTTCAATGTGAAAAAACAGAAAAATGTAACATGCTATATTTGACCCTGTAACTTCCCAAAACACTATACAAGGGTGTACTGTTTTACACGTGAGACATTGCTGAATACAAATATGTGTATTTTATTGCAGTAAAAGCAAACAGTATCATGACACTCACAGTTAAAATGTCACATAGAACTAAATAAAATGTTAAAATTCATATTTTCTCCCATTTTTTATATTTTATTCATATTAAATTATGTTTCATACCTAAATATTTGATGTTAAATGAAAGCCCTGTTTCCCCTGAATAAAATGATATATAATAAGTGTGGGTGCACAAAATATGAAAGTGGCGAATTACGCCTGAACAGACATATATATTCAAGTTTTTGTTTACGTTTTGTTTTGATCACAAGTTTACATTTGGCTCAGTCCTTAAGGGGTTAATGAGTGTCCCCTAACCATCAATTAACTTTTTTTCCACCATCAATTAACTTTTTTCCCATCAACCATCTCTTATTTTTGTGTCACAGATGGAACTACGAATCACATGAACATGCACGTCCATTGCACCAGAAATAAGGCATGCTCAGTTTGGAACTGTTAAAGTCTTAATCCATAGTCATTGTTGTTCCTTCTGTGCTAATGCTTGGAATGTGGAAACTTGAATTTCTCCTAACAAATGTCCAAGATCTGGCATCGACTTTATTACTGATGGGAAATCCAAGTGAACAAAATAAAATAACAATTTTACAAAATGGGACTGGGTAGAAAATAGTTTTACTTTTCTCCCAGGAAATTCATTCTAAAATAGCTTGGTTAAAAGTCTTGAAAATGCTGTCTAGGCCACGGGAAAAAAACTGAATCTACATAAATATAGGAGCCATTTAGTCACTTAGGGTGTTATGCAGTCCACCTTCCAGTAGATGGCAGCATAGTGAAGTTATGCACTTGTTCTGTTGTGTTAGTCTCTCTTGTGTTATGTTATTATGTGTGTGTACTATTTTACTACAATGTCTGAGAGCCATTTTGTGAATATATAACATGCTAATACTTTAAACTGGCGACGAGGATGGGATGTCAGGAAATGGACACTGCAGCATATATATATATATATAAAGGAAATAAAATCAGCCTGAGTGAGGAAGTAAAACTTTTCTTTTGGAAATCTATTATCTACAAATATCTCCAGCATGGCTTCTCTGGGACACATGGAGGAATTTGATCTGGCTAATCCAACCTCATGGGACTCATATGCTGAGCGGTTAGTGTTTTTCCTGGAAGCTAATAAGGTGGTTGATGCTATTCAGAAGAGAGCTGTGTTACTGAGCATTATTGGATCTAAGACTTTTGATACTATCCGCTCACTGATATCCTGCTAAACCACAAGACTGCTCATTTGAAGAAATACTGGCACTGTTAAAAAATCATTTAGCACCCACCCCATCTGAAACAGTGAGGCGTTTCCATTTCAATAAAAGAAATCAGAAACCAGGTGAAAGCATTGCAGCATACATTGCAGAACTGCACAGGCTGTCTGAAAATTGCAATTTTGGTACCAGCTTAGAATCCTTGTTAAGGGACAGGCTTGTGTGTGGGGTGCAAGATGTAGCACTGCAGAGGAGACTTCTTGCAAGACAGAATTTAACTTTTATTATTGCACAAGAGTAAGCGATCGCAAATAAGGCTGCATATGTCCATTCAAAAGAGATACAATCCTCCTCCAGCAAAGAGAACGCACCTGAAATAAATATAGTGAAGAAGACTAAATCAAAAGACTTATCACCACGCACTGATGTCACAGCTCCATTTAAAGGAACTTGTTATAGTTGCGGTGGAAAACACAGGCGTAATACATGTCGTTTTCGAAATGCAGTTTGCCAGACATGTAAACGTACAGGTCATATACAGACAGTTTGCTAAAATACAAGCCAGTGGAATTCAAACCCAACATAAGAATGTGAATATAATACAAACCGCAGCGCACTCCTTTAATACTCCACATACCGTTTCAGATAGTGAAATGACTGCAGGTGTTTACTGAAATGACTATGTGAATAAAGTGGAAAATTCGCCATCAGGACTGAAGATTTACACTGAAATTATGCTGCAAGATGTTCCGTTCAAAATGGAAGTAGATTCTGGGTGCGCATATTCTTTGATTTCAGTAGAGACATTTACATTGTTATGGCCTCATAATTCTCCTTCAATAGTACCTTGTGATATTCATCTGGTGGACTACAACAAACAGGCTGTGGATGTTAAAGGGGCTTGTTTTATACCAGTAAAATATGGTAAATTCAGAGGATACATACATTTAATAATTACTAAGGGACAAAGAGCAAGTTTGCTAGGTAGAGAGTGGTTTGAACCCTTAGGAATTTAATTAACTGGAGTTAATAATGTATCGACAGATATTCTACAGAATGTGATTGATAAATTTAGTGCAGTTTTTGAAGAAGGTCTTGGCATGTTTACAGGCCCTCCTGTTTCTTTTGTATTAGATTCAACAGTATCCCCAATTCGTATGAAGTCTCGCAAAATTGCATGAGCTCTCAGACCAAAAATAGATGGTGAGATTACATGTCTTGTGGAACAAGGTATACTTGAACCCGTAACACACCCAAAGTGGTGTACACCAATAGTTCCGGTCATGAAACCAAATGGGGATATCAGAATCTGTGCTGCCTACAAATGTACAATCAACAAAGCGTTGCAAGAGCATCCCTATCAAATTCCAGCTATTAATCAAATTCCTACTACTTTGGCAAAAGTAAAAGTATTTGCCAAGTTGGATATGGCTCAAGCCTACCAACAGTTACCTGTGGATGATGAGGCTGCTGATGCACAAACGATAATAACACACAAAGGAGCTTTCCAAGACGTTTGCAGTTTGGAGTTTCCATTGCTCCTGGCATATTCCAGAATTTAATGGAGGACCTCTTATCTGGACTTCTAGGTGTAGTGCCTTATTTTGATGACGTTCTTATTGGAGCAGATTCTATAGAGTCATTGGCTGCACAGCTACAACTTGTTTTACAATGTTTTCTTGATGCTAGTCTAAAACTTAAAAAAGAAAAGTGTGTTTTTGGTGAAAGCAGCGTGGATTTCCTTGGTTACCGAGTTGACGCACAGGGCATTCATTTTTACCATTCTTTTCTGCCTGATAAAGCCACTGTTGCTGAACCTCTGCATCATCTACTAGATAAAGATGCTCCATGGAAGTGGACTGACGTTCATACTACAGCTTTCAGCGCTGTATGCTGCTAGAGACTGATTGCCAGGAGTGTAAGCCGCTTGGGGCTTTTCCTGTTCGTCTCCTAGCAGCTATTCGTGTGTCTCCAGTTTGGGAGTTGGGAGTGCTACTTGGTATGCAGTTCGGGAGTTTCGAGTATTCCCTTGTTTCCAGTTCGGGAGCTGGTGAATTCGTGGGTTTGCAGTTCGGGAGATTGGTGCTTTCAGTAGCTGTCTTTGCAGCTGAGAAAGGGGAATATCGTCTAAACAGTTTTTAACCGCTTGTGTGCGAAAACGGTCCGTTATATCCGTATTCGCTGAAAATTCTTTAAATAATCTAAAACTTGGAGGATGACAAAGATATTAAGAAGAACCACAGAGAACAGCATTCATTGTCATTCCAGATATTGTTTTGTGACGTATAGCTTTTGAGAAAACCGACTTTATTGTCATATGAAGGTGGTCATTGCAAAAAAACATACATGCACCTTTTCTGTTTTTTTTTGTTTTTTTTTAAACCTTCAAAAACTTCAAACACCCATATTTCTACAGCATTTTTCTAATGGGAAGCCAGTGATAGACTGACAACATCAGCCATGGCACTCTCAGCCAATCACTAACCTTCCATTCAAAGATTTTCACATTGGAGCCTAGGGCCAGAGGAGGAGACAGAGGGGCCAGGAGCGCTTAAGGTAAGAAGGTGCCCAGAGTGGTCCTTTCACAAATATGCATTTGTGAAGTGTGGTACAATAGAGCTAATGTAGAAATCGATACCTCCCCCGGGTTACCCCCCCATATTAAGAATTTTAACAAAATATAATTCCATTTGTTATATTTTTGTTAGACCAGGTTAGATCTACAGTTTTTTTTGTCATTGGATCTATTCTAAAGTATGCAATATTAACAATCTTTTTCAGTCGGGGGGCAAGGGGGGGTGGGGGGGTTGGGCTAACCCATAGCCAGTCCCCATCAACAAATTCCTGAAATATTGTATTTTTAATTAGGGAGGCTGGCCCCTGCCCTCAACGGAAAATTGGACAAAATGTTACCTGTTTTGGTAGATGTTCGTTAGATCAACTGCTTTTGAACAGGTTTGATCAACTGTTTTTTTCGACAGATCTATCACACAAGAGGTGGTATTAACAATCCTATTTTGTGTGCGGGGAGAGGTGAGTATGAGTTAGCCCCCTTCAACTGAAATTCAGATTTTTTTTTTTTATTGGTTTTAGTAGATATTTATTAGAGTATATAAGTTCAATTGGTTCTTTAGTTAGATCTATCAGGCAATGGTGTAACTCTTGAATATAGTGACAGGTCCCCTTTCAATACTGCATTTGTTAGTAAATATTTTAGGCCTAAAACATTTTTGGAAAATGGATTTCTCCCACACAGCTCTTAACTTGGTTTCAAGCCTATTAGCGAAAAGACTCAAATTAAACTAATTTCACACTCAGCAAAAAATACACAAGTTTACTGTGAAAGCTGCAGACGTTTGATTTTTCCTGAGGATTGTCCTGCCTATTAGGAAAAATAGGCCCATTTGAACATTTTATATAAGCAATTTTATTTAAGCAATTTCATGCACTTATGTGCATGCAATTGCGAAGTAAATGCATCACTGACAGTGTGTATTCTGTGGAGATACAGACCAAACTGTATATGTGTTCACAATTGTAGACCAGAGCCTCTAACAGATTAAATGAACACTCCCATTACCATAACAACTTAGGCTCATTTATGTTGTTATGGTAGCAGCAGTGTCCTGGCCCTCTTACCTTCAGGGGTTTAACCATTTAGTAATGGTTTAACCCTGAAGTTGGGATTTCAGTGCCCGACAACTCTGCCTACAGCTTTTAGTTTTAGTTTTTTTGTTTTAGTTAGTCTGTCGGTGGTAAGCTGAGTGCATCAACTGAGGCTCTAAGCCTATCACTGGATGCACAGTGAGAGAAATAGTATGTGTTTTCCCTTCCTGAGTATCAATTGTAAGTCCAAATGAAATTAAAAAGGTAATGCTACTAGTCCCGATCTGTCTGTCCTGAAGATTGGCAGACACTAGAAATATTAAATTTGTTGGCGAAAAATTTTCATGTTTTTCGTCAAAACAACATTTTCAGTAGCAAAAACAACAAAAACAACTAACTAAAAATAAAGTGATTGTGATGAAAACTATAATGAAAATTCATGACATTTTAGTCAAAAGTTTTAGTCAAAAGTCTACAACTAAAATGAAATCAATTTTTTTTTTAAAATGAACACTGATTCTTTCAAGCAGAAGTGTAGCTCTAAAATTTTTACAAAAAGAAAAAAACCTGTATTTGCTGTAAAATTGCATTTTACATATTACCTGAATATGAATATAGCAAACTCTGTTAAAAGGAAATGCATCCCTTGTCAGAAAATTGTTTAATTCTGAATGAGACAAAAAAACACAGATCTAAGACACTATTTCTGGGCAGCTTCAATAGCTGAAACATTTATTAGCACAAATGTATGAACACAATAAAAAAGTGTGAACTATACACAATTCCTATTTGTAAGAAATGTGTGGTCACAGTGAATCATTAAGTAGAGGGCACACAGCCTCCTTTTACCACTGGGCTGATGGGATACGATTTAGGAGACAGGTGCTGAAAAGGTAGATCCCCAGATGTTGAAGAACTACAAATCCCATGATGCTTTGTATAGAATTGTTTTAGAATGACAAAGCATCAGGAAAGCTGTAATTTTAAAATATCTGGGGATCTACCTTTTAAACACCCGATTTAGGAGTTGCTGGTTTCCCATGAAGCCCTAGTCTTGAGTTTTACCAAAGTCTACTGCAGAACACTTCCAATAGGTCCTTAGGGAAACAAGGGAAACAAGGTTTAAATGGCTGGTCTTATTCTGGTATACATTGCTTAGCTATCTTAGAAACATCTTCATGCAACAAAAACAGAAATGTTAAGGACACTGTCCGTCCCAGTGCACCTACACCCAGGGACGTATTAGCCGCGAGGCAAACAAGGCATTTGCTTTGGGCGGCATTTTTCAGGGGGCGGCAAAATACGTATTTTGCCGCCCCCAAATGCCTAGTTAGCCTCGTGGCTAACTGACATGCTGGTCGGGCTGGGCGGCGCTGGCTGCTGTGCGGGCGGGCGGCTGGCGAGGGAGCACTTCCTCTGAGCTGACTGCTCAGCTCCCTCTCGCGCCGCCCGCAGAGTGAGGCTGGGAGCCGGAAGATTACGTCATATTCCGGCTCCCAGCCTCACTCTGCGGCGTGCGAGGGAGCTGAGCAGTCAACTCAGAGGAAGTGCTCATTCGCCACCCGCCCGCACAGCAGCCAGCACCGCCCAGCCCGACCGGCAGCCACTGGACCACCAGGGAGAAAGAGAGGGTTTAAATAAAAAAAAAAAAGTTAATGTGAGTGATTGTGTGTGTGTGTGTGTTTGTGTCTGACTGTGTGTGTGTGTGTGTCTTACTGTGTATGTGTTTGCGTCTGACTGTGTGTTTGACTGTGTGTGTGTTTGTGTCTGACTGTGTGTGTGTGTTTGTGTCTGACTGTGTGTGACTGTGTGTGTGTGTTTGTGTCTGACTGTGTGTGTGTTTGTGACTGTGTGTTTGTGACTGTGTGTGTGTGTTTGTGACTGTGTGTGTGTGTATGTCTGTGTATGTGTCTCTGTGTATGTGTCTGACTGTGTGTGTGTGACTGTGTGTGTTTGTGTGTGACTGTGTGTGTGTTTGTGTATGTCTGTGTATGTGTCTCTGTGTATGTGTCTGACTGTGTGTGTGTTTGTGTCTGACTGTGTGTGTGTGTGTTTGTGTCCGTGTGTGTGTATTTAGAAGGTGGGGCGGGGGGGAAAGGGGCGCCTGAGTTTTGTCCAGCCTAGGGCAGCACAAAACCAGGATACACCACTGCCTACACCAGCTCCACCCACAAGCCAGCAATATGTCCAAAAATAATACACTTCCAGAGCTGTCCTTTACCTAACCTGATATTGTGGGGCCAAAACTTCACTTGTCAGTTTGGCACCTTAAATAAAGTATCGTTTTTCTCCTGGTCTGGTAGAATCAATATATTAAAAGCATACATTTTACCAAAATGGCTGTACCTTTGGAGAATGATCCCACTCAATTTTCCAGAAAACTAACTATCGTTATTACATTCAGCTTTTCTAAAATTGATTTGGGGTGGTAAGAAAATGAATTTTGGTTTGTGCAAGACAAGATGGAGGCTTACAATGTTATCAGGCCAGTAGATTATTTTATATAATGCTTTCACAAAATAATGCAGCGGTTCATGAGACATGGTATAAAATGGAAAAAGCTAAAACAGGGAAAGGGAATTTAACTTCACTATTTTGGATTCTGAATCTTAACAGAAAACATATTAATGAGGCAGGAAGTAAATCACAGATACTTAAAGAATTAATGAGCTGGTGGGATACATTTATAGCTACAATAGGATTTAAAAATAGAATAATTGATGTACTTCCGTTTTCTATCATTTCAGATATGTTAGATAATATAAAAATAAATCCTTGGAAGACTGGCGGGATAAACATGCTCAGAGACATAATAGGGCAACATTAAATTAAGCCATTTAATCAAACTAGTGAGGGATTTTCTATTTCAATGAATGAAACATTTGGTTACTTGCGAATTAAAAGCTTTATGCCAGAATGCATCCTTAAAAGTAAGGAAAGAAAAGTCTCATTCACCTCTTTGAACTAAAAAATTACAGATATCTGCTGACAAAATGTTTTAAGGTTGTGGCCGGACCATCACAGCAAGCAGTCGCATGCCTTCAGTGCTCCATACTCTAAGTGGCAAAAACGGCAAATCCTACCCGCGGCATGGCGGGAATCTGTACCCAAAAGTGCTCCCGACCTGTTCAATACCATGGGGAAGAAGATCAAAAAGTTAAAAATCCAGGAGATGGCAGCAGGACGATTGGGGATCTCTTCCAGGCGCGGCCTACTCCTAAGATGGCTTCCATACTGGACTCCCATAGCTCATCTTCAGAGGAGGAACCTCTGGACGCCCCAGACAACATACCTGAGGTCAGGGATCCGTTCTCCACCGTGCCCAGAGGCGACCTGGGAGCTCCAGCCACCAAAGGTGACTTAGTGAACTTCCTAAAAAATGTGTGCTCCTGTTTTCACATCTATATGGCAATACTCCGAGAAGACACGTCGGCGGTCACTGACCGGGTGAGAGTCACAGAAGAGGACTTATCTACAGTCGTTCAACGCCAAACCGGCACAAGCACACAGGTCCAGAAACTCCAGGCCTCCCACAAAATCCTGTAGGACAGACTGGACATGCTTGACGACGCACAGCGCCAAAATAATATTAAAATAAGGGGCATAGCCGATTCAAATGACGACAAAGAGCTTCTCCACTTTCTCAGAAGGCTACTCTTAGTAATCCTGCATCACAGGCAAGTAAAACATACCCGTATAGAAGGATCAAACAGGCTCCCCAAGTCCACAAGAGCTCCAGCTGCAGCTTCCCGCAATATCCTACTTTGCTTCCAATCATTCCGCGACAAGATGGCAGTTGTGGATGCACTCAAGACTCAGAGCCCCTTCAAATTCAAAGAGATGCAGCTCACCATCCTCCAGGATTTTTATGAAGCCACACTGGACTGAAGGTGCTCGGTTCATAAGGTAACCCTGACCCTCCAAGAAGGCGGCATCAGGTACAGATGGGGGCCATCCCACTTCCTTATAGTCACTAAGGGAGACACAACCCTCCAACTTACCTCCCCCGATGACTCCTGTGCTTTCCTGAAAAATCTAGGGCTCGAGCAGCATACCCGTCTCAGCACCACCGCTGGAAGCTCGTGGGACGTCACAAATATTATCCCCTTCGTGCCCAGTTATGCAGCAGGCACAGGCTGAGACTGTCCATATACCTCCGACAGGAGAGTAATCCTTTTATTGTTCCGTTATGTTAGTTGTTAGTTATGTTCTCGATAGACATCTTTTCCAGTAATACTGTTCTAGTTTCACTGAAATGTGAATAGTGTAAAGCGATTCAACATGCCATCGGACCTCTGCCCTCCTACCCCCCCATCCCAGTGCCCAGGGGATATTGGGTGCTGTAAATGCCAGTTTATCAGACAAGGTCGACTTGTTCAATACCTCACATGTACGTGTGGTTTCAACACACAATCTACCATGTAAATTCTTTTATTATTATTAATTTCTTTTAATATTTTGCATTATTTCATCATCTCTTTGCAAGAGACGTACCAGATTCAGAGCTGCACTAAGTCCACAGACCACAGCAGGCTTCAAATACTACCCGTAAACCGCGATTACCTCCTATGAAGGCTTGGCTCACTCCTAACTTAAATATACGTCTAAGGCGATAGTCGTAACCCTGACCATGATACTGACCATGTAAATACACAATTTATACTCCAACAGAGCGGCGACCATGACGTACTAACCCTCTATCGTTACACCCGTTATTTGCCCTTCCTAACTTCGGTGAACTTAGCGTTGATTGTAACACCCCACAGCATTCAATATCTTACAGCTACAACTAGAAAGCAAATAGATGAATCATTTTTAACCCTTTTATACCAAAAAGTGCAATGTTGTTTGATGCCATTACACTGTTATCAAATGTTTGTAATATATATTCACCAGCTGTTGTGGCAGTGCACATATGGTTGTCTCATCTCTGCATGAAAAATAAAGAATAACATTTTCTTTTTTTTTTTAAATGTGTTAAGGTTATATATAAATGGAGACATGATAGACACACATGACTGATCAAAAAATGAGAACAAGAATTGCAAATACATACAGAGGAAGAATATTGGATACACTCCCCAAGTAAATTATATAAATATATACTCTGTCTAACTTTTACAGAAACACATTTAAACTTTCAAATAGATGGTATTTAACACCACAACGTTTAAAGAGAATTTACCCAGAGACATAGGTACGGATAGGTATTGGAGATGTGATGTTAACAAAGGCAATCTAATCCATATTTGGTGGTAATGCACACCCATAAACAATTATTGGAAAGATATAATAAATGTAATACACCAAATAATTGAGATGAAATTAGGCTTTGAACCTGGAGTAATCTTATTAAATTTAGGATGGCCAATAATGAGAAAACAAGTATTAATGTTAAAGGACCACTATAGTGCCAGGAAAACATACTCTGGAAGGGGGAAAGGGGTAAAAACTTACCTTTTTCCAGCGTTGGGCGGAGAGCTCTCCTCCTTCTCTCCTCCTCCGTTCCTCCTCCTGGGCTGAATGCGCACGCGCGGCAAGAGCTGCGCGCGCATTCAGCCCGTCGCATAGGAAAGCATTTACAATGCTTTCCTATGGACGCTTGCGTGCTCTCACTGTGAAAATCAATGAGACAGCCACTAGAGGCTTTAGAGGCTGGATTAACCCATTTATAAACATAGCAGTTTCTCTGAAACTGCTATGTTTATAAAAAAATGGGTTAACCCTAGAAGGACCTGGCAC